AACTCCAAATCTAAAATTATCTAATAATATCAAGGTGCATTATCTATTCATTTATCATTATAGTTAGATATTTCCTTTTTTCCAAGAAAATGAAATGGCTTACACAATTCATCTTATCTTCATCAAAACTTTATGATTCAAGAGAGGAAAGGAAATACCCTATGAGCTTTATGGCTAATTGGAGATTTGGATCTTACTAGGTCTATCCCTTATACCTCCTGCACTGTGTTATCTCAAGCCCTCGCATTGATTCATGGAAACAAAGGCTTTTGTTATCAGATACATGAAATAAATTGAAAATATAGCAGGTGCGAAGATATAGAGGTATCTTCAGAGGTATCTACAGATACAGATTTATAGCAACATTTAAAACTAATTAAGAAGGTGGAAAAAAGGTAGCAAAAGACTTCCTGATTAACTTGAGTGCTACACCTGCCAAAGATATACTAAGCAGCCACATGAAATAAATTAAGTTATATTATACTTTGTTCAAATGTTTTTATTTATCAAAATATAAAATATAGAAATATAAAGAAAAATGAGGATAATGGGAAAATATAATAGCAAACCTATCTAATCAGCAAAATCCAAAATCAATTTTTTTTCTACCTCAAGCACAAAGTCCAAAAGTGGTTTCCAAGTAGAAACAAATTAATTGTGTTTTCTTTAATCAAAGCAGTCAATTTAGCCATCTCTGCTAATTCCATCAACTTTTGCAGGCACTTGTCCATAGTGGGAATCAATGTATCCTTCCATTTTTGTGCATAAAGTATTGTTGCTTCTGTCAGCATATGTAACATTAAGGTTCCATATCTTTTTTCAAGTTCTTTATCTATTAAGCCTAAAAAAAAAGGTCTCTGGTTTTATTTTTATATTTACTTTAAGAATCTTCCGTATTAAGATGTGAATCCTATTCCAATATATCTTTGCTTTGTCACATGTCTATCATAAATGGTAATAAGTTCCTTCTATATATTTACATTTCTAACATTCATTTTGATGGTACCTTTATACATTCTTGACAATTTCTCTCAGGTTGGATACCAACAGTACATCATCATAAAATTTTATTTTAAATTATAATTTAATATGAATTTTAATCCATGTTTTCCCATTGTTTAAGCATATTATATGCAACATTCTCGGTCCACATACAAACAATGCTTTACATATTCATTCTCCAAGTTCAATTTCAATAAGAATTTATAAACCTTAGCAATAATATGTTCATCACTACTACACAAAAGGATTTCCAATTCATTTTTCACAAAATCAAATCCATAACTTTTTAAAGCTAATCTAAATCTTTAAATTATAAATATGCAAAATATTGGTTCCAATTCCTCTTTATATTTGAGGATAGGGTCACCATAATTGAAAGATAATACTTGACTATGAGTCAACCAGTCTGGCCTCACCAGTATTTCTTTTCTAAAAGAAGCTTCTAGGGCAACACCCAAAGGGGTATCTTTGCAGAGAAAAGTTATATTATACTTTGAACAAAAGAAAGAAAGCTTGTGTGTCTCCATCTCTTTCTCCTCCACTCCACTCTATTCTCTTTGAAAGTGATTACTCCCAATGTAGCAGTCTTTAAAAATGGAGCTTCAAACAGATCCAGAAAGGCTTCTTTAAGGTCTCATGTTTAACCTCCAAATATGGTTTGTTCCTTCATGCAAGGGTTCATTCCCGCACGAATAGTGGTAAGTCCATGGAACAGAAGAGTTTGTCACAAGCTACCAAAACTAATAGGGCCTTTCTTCACTTGTTCCTAACCCTGACACAAACATGACTTTTTTTCCTGCTATTATCTGCTGTGTCTTCACTTCATTCTCATGACCTGTCTCTAGGTGTACCATTGCTAAAAGTAGTATTTCTCCCATTAAACTGACAGCATCCAACAGCAGGCAAAAGCTATGAAATATCTTCTATGCTTTGTCAGGCATTATGTCAGATGTGGCATCAGATGATTAGAGAAGCGTTTATTGGCAGTTTCAGCTCATAGTCACATCTTTGGTCCTTGGTCAACTTCAGCTGCTGTATTTCTCACGTTGCCTTCTCAATGAGATGTGCCCAGTTCTTTGACAAGGCAATGCTAGAATAACAGCAGCTGAAATTGACCAAGGACCAAAGATGTGACTATCAGCTGAACCTGCCAATAAACGCTTCTCTGCAACCCAACAAGACAGATACAGACTTCAGAGGATAATTAGAACTGCACAAAAAACAATTGCTACCAACCTGCCTTCCATTGAGTGCAGACCTGTATACTGCACGAGTCAAAAAGAGGACTATGAAAATATTTACAGACCCCTCACATCCTGGACATAAACTGTTTCAACTCCTACCCTCAAAACCATGTGATAGAGCACTGCACATCAGAACAACTAGACACAAGAACAGTTTTTCCCCCATCATTCTACTAAACAAATAATTCCTTCAACACTACCAAACTATTTACTAAGTCTGCATTACTATTAATCTTCTCATCGTTCCCACCACCCATCTCCTTCCACTTATACTGTATAACTGTAACTTTGTTGCTTGGATCCCTACAATTTATATTGAAATTGTTTCCTGATTGCTTATTTGTACCCTATGACTATCATTAAATGTTGTATCATATGATTCTTGATAAACGTATCTTTTCTTTTATGTACACTGAGAGCATATGCACCAAGACAAGTTCCTTGTGTGTCCAATCACACTTGGCCAATAAAAATTCTCTTCTCTTCTCTTCTCTTCTCTTCTCTTCTCTTCTCTTCTCTTCTCTTCTCTTCTATTCTATTCTATTCTATTCTATTCTCTAATCATCTGACTCCACTTCTGACAGAATGCCTGACAAAGCATAGAAGATATTTGCTGATTTCCTTTGAATCTGCACAAGAGCAATAGAGCTATATTTTTTAGCACAGCACAGGGATTTTCTTTCTGCTTCTCTGTCCACCTTTGTGTAATTGCGTGCAAAAGCATACATGTGCCATTTCACATCCACTACAGCAGGGGTCCCCAACCCCCGGTCCGTGGACAGCCAGTAGCCTGCCAGCAACTAGGTTGCACAACAAGCAAAACCCCATCCGTGACATGCTGCCTGCACACAAAATCATGCCCCCTCTGGTCCGCTGAAAAAACTCTCTCCACAGAACCAGTTCCCAGCACCCAAAATTTGGTGACCACTGAACTACAGAGTGATGGAACAAATCAGTAGCTAGTAAATTAAAATGGTTCAGAGCAAGTCAAAATTGTGCTATAGTTCAACTGATAGCACAATAAGTACTTTGACCCTATGTCCTTGCTGTTTCAAGGCAAGATAGCATAACATAATAGTGAGACAATATGACAATAACCCCACACCTCCCAATTGCTTTTTGAACAAAATGTGAGGTATCTGGGAAGATGGCATTTGTTGCCAAATTCTAAATAAAGTGCTGCCTGTGACTCACTGTCGTTGTGATGCCAATCATTTTTTAAAAATTCAATTCAGAACAAGGTGTAAGAGGAACAGCATGAGAAGAAGCATAACGATGATGCACACAATTTACAGTCAGACTTGCTCTGTTTCTAGTGCAGGACTGTGATTATTGGTGACAAGCTTAGAGGAACAGTAAAAGGAGTAATCAACCAATCATTTTGCTTATCATATGCTACACATGTATAATCAGAACAGCACTATTTCAACAGTAAGCCAGAACACTAGGCAAGCTTAAGAATCTGCAGTGGAGGCAGTGAGTTTCATAGCAGTACAGTACAGTTACCTGCAAATCCAATGGATAGTATTTTCGTTTATCAGAAGTGAAAGATCCATAAAAGTGACCAATAACTCCATCCCTCATAAATTTGATTAGTCCTTTCTTAAAACCATTTCTTAAATGGGTGACACAATGAAATCTGATGTTGGCAAACTCATTTAACCTTATGTTGCATCAATAAATACTTCCTTTTACCAATTCTTAATCTTTCCTTAGTTTTACCAGCAACCTGAATTCTAGTGTTGTAAGAAATGGAAAAAGAATCTGTCTCTTTTCACCATGCAAAATTTACAAACTGCTGTCATGTCACCTCTTACCTTTCTTCACAAAAACTCATCACTTTGATTCTACTGCAAACAGATGCTTAAGAGGAATCCACATCCAGGACATGATTGAATTAACATTCTCCTTCTCCCATTTTTCTCTCACATAATTTCATTTCGAAGCAACTGTCCAGCTGCCGTCCAATGCCTGCCTCAATATATTGGCCTGATTTGGTTTCCCAAATTTTCAGTCAGTATATAAGCCAAAATGAAAGTGAGAATTCAGCAAGGTATTTACTTATAACAAAGTTTCTTTGACATTTTGATTAGTGCTAGTGAAGTGTATCTCTAATTTCCTTGATTATTCCTTGTGATTCAACACCGCTACTTCAGATTTTGTCTGGTTTGGGATATTTTATACATTTATACATGTTTCTTTCTTTCTTTCTTTCTTTCTTTTTTTTGAATGGATGTTCAAAAAAAATTATATAACATCCAGATGTTATATAATTTTAAATTGCTCTTTTATTGCACACTGAATAAACGTAGATGTTGTACCCTATGGGTTGCAACAATAAATTATAACTGAATGATATAAACTAAGCAGATTTTGAAGCCCACACGCGCTCTTTCCTTTCCCCCTCCCCCGTGAAGATTTGTTTATTCGCTGCTTTGGCCAAAAGGTGGCGCTGATGACGTTTTTATCTGTCAATCGTTAGATAATAGGTTTTTAAGCGACTGTAATATTCCTCCTCCTTTCTCTCTCTCTCTCTCTTTTCTTCTTTTTTTTCCTCGCTCCATTGCCCCATATTGGACAATAAACAAGAGAGGGGAAACGGAAAAGAGAGAAAGAATGAGAAATGGGGGGAAAAGTGTTCTCGTACTTTAGATGCTAACTCCGTCTCCCCTCTCTCTGCCTTGAGGAAGCCGGAAAAAGAAACAAATAGCAACCCCCCCCCACCTCCTCCCCTCCTCCTTCAGCATGGTCGCAGAAAAGCGGGTCGCGGGGTGCAAATGCAAATGCAATAAAGCCGAATAAAGGTCCCGCAACATCTACACTCCAGCGCTCCCCGGCTGCCCCCGAACCTAAGACTTCAGAGCCATAATTGCTGCGCGGTCGGCTGCAAGCAGCCCGGGCGACGTTGTGTGCGTGTGTGCGCGCGTGAGCGTCGGGTGTCGGTGAGTGTGTCGGTGTGCCTGGGGACCAGCCACCGCGTCTGCCCGAGCTCAGCGCCAGAGATGCCGCCAAGCTCTCCTTTGCAAATAACAATGTGGCATTTTCGTCCGGGGGGGAGGCGTCCGAGCCTTCTGCCTTCTTCCCCGTCATAGCGGATTGTGTGGGGGCATATCTTTTACATATCAAGGCGGGTCGGGGGAGGAGAGAAGGCCCGAGATCAAGAAGAGGAAGAAAAGGACGAGGAGTAAATGCGTGCTTGGAAACAGCCTTGCCAGCAGTAACACAACAAGGGGGTGGTGGGGTGGGAAATCAGCAAAAAAGAAACTTATGGAAGAATGAAGGAGATGGTGGGCGGTTGCTGCGTCTGTTCTGATGAACGCGGCTGGGCAGAAAACCCCCTGGTCTACTGTGATGGGCATGGCTGTAACGTGGCGGTGCATCAAGGTAAGACCCCCCACCTAGCCTTTCCTCCCCGCGGATACCTTGGCCAAAGCCTCCCCCTCTCTCCCGTTCCCCGCCAAACCCGGACTCGCCTTCTAACTCTCCGGGCGCTTGCCAGAAGTGGCTTGGCAGATCTGGAAAAAGACCGTGGGGGTTAACCGGGACCACCTCCTCCCGCACTGATTGCCTCCCTAAAACCTTCGCAAGCTTTCAGTAAAATAAAAAAAGCGGCGGGATTGGTTTTCGACATGGAGGAAGAAGAGTTGGAGGCGGGCTAAAACATACATCATCATCGCCGCCACCACCACCATCATCTTCATCATTGTTATTGTTGTTGTAACCGTGCATTAAAGGAATTCTAGCGCCTTTTGTTCCGATGGGGTACACTTGACAGGGGAGAGGGAGACGGATGCAATGCCGTGCAAAAAAAGAAAGAAAGAAAGAAAGAAAGAAAAAAGAAAAGAAAGGGGGGGGGAGAGAAAAGATTTGAGGAAAAAGGTTAAACGGGTGATAGCCTGTGTATGTTGTCTATGAAAAGCATGATCTTAGCCTTTCCTTCTCCACTGACTATGAGTATGTCTATGTGTACATGCTCCTAGTTATTGCTTTGTTTTGCTTTCCTATTCATTAATTTTTAATTGCACCACCATGTAAAGAGGGTGAAGATGGGATACATCTGAATGCCAACAGACTCCAGAAGCATAGGGAAGCGTCAGTTGTAATGGATGTTGTAAAAAATATATTATTTGACGTCGATTCAGAATGGCAGTGACCTCTGACTGTCTCCCTCAGCTTCCTTCCGGATTAGCTGAGCTTCTATTATTAGCTGCCCTGTAACATTGGGGATTTTTTATTGTTTATTTTAATGGGGGGGGAGGGGAGGGGGAGGGGGGACTTTTTGGCCTGCAATTGCAAGGTAAGTGAAGCAAAACAGAAGGTCCCAAGGACCAACCTGGGAATATACTTCTTTGCAAAGCCACCTGGTGTACAGAAAGCTGAAATGTGCGTGTGAGAGAGAGAAAGAGAAAGAGAGAAAGAAGAACACTCTCTTATTACCACTTTCTAGTTACCTGTAGTAGATCATTAATCCTGGACGTATAAGACTGAGGTGAAAATACCTCAGTTACACCCTGCCTCAGATCTAAGTTTATTGCTATAGCCTCACATCTGAGCTAAGCTGCTGAAAGGAGAATGAGTTGAGTTTAGAATTCTTTGCTGTGGTGAATAGTCATTATAAAGGAGAAGTCTTTACTTGGTCATGTACTGAACTTTAGTTTGTGGCAAACCCACTGTTCTGGAACATTCATTTACATAGGAGAATAACTAGTCTCCAAACTTCATCTGGGATAGCTGAAATTTTAACTTCTGTGGATATTCTCCCTGCCCTCAGAAGCTGTCTTCACTTGGCAGAACTTACTGGTTTAATCAGACTTTTGAAGTTTGATGGAAGTTGGAGGAGGCACCCAAACAGAATTCATTTCTTTTTTTCCCTCTCCTATAAATCTTACAATATAATAAATTTGTATAACCTGGTTTTATAACTGACATCTTTTTAAAAAAGGAAATAGCTGTTACAGGAGATGACAGTATCTAATCAACTTTGACTGATCTGATCTGATAAATTAAGTGTTGCTGGATCTGGAATGAACCTAGAGGGGAGACAACCAGGGTAACAGAAAGATTTGGAAGGAGGTGGCAGAATCCCAGAAGAACATAATGGCAACATGTATTGTGCGAAGATCACAATATTTACATATGCATGTAATTACCTGGAGTCAAGCTTGACTTCAGTGGGCATGTCAGATATTATCTAACTTAATCAATGGTCTGTGGAAAACCAGTGATTAGTGGAGGTTCATCAAGTGGTCCACCATAACCTTATTATATTTGCTACCATTAAAAGAATTTTCTAAGAACCTCAATTCTGCTTCTCTGCATCTGACCATCAGCTGATTTCCAAAGACAAATCACTGGCCAAAAACTTGTTTATGGAAGTGCATATGTGGATAATACATACATAGTGAGTACTTCAGTTCAGAAAACTGACAATGGTGAACAGGAATTGAATGTAGTTATTGACTCAAATCTCATCACGCAAGTAACAAAAAGGATGAATTAGAAACCCAATAGTTAATATCAAAACATAGGATTTTAGTAAAGATCTTAGTCTTCTAATGCTCAATAAATTTCTGTTGAACATTGTTGATCAGTAAGCATGAGTTGCTACAATGGCATGGGATACTTAATGTTTAATTTTGAATTAATGTTTAGTAAAACATTTAGTTTAAAAATACTCCTAAAATGCAGGGGATGGAATATACAAATGCAACTATAATCTCTATATTATTTGCTAAAAAAATGTGAACTCCTGAGCTTTTAAAGACAAAAATGTAGGGGTGTGTGTTTAATTTGGCGTTTCCTGCATTTTCCAAATATTTATCTAGTAGTTCTGAACAGCAGAAAGTTTCGGATATACTGATCTAGATATACAATGAATCACACTTTATTCATATTACATATTATATATTTCATAGCATAAGACTTAACTTAGGTTACACTGATTATTTTAACTAGTAGTTTCCACAGTAAAGTCTGAAATGAATCCTTAGTGAAAATCAAGTCTGTTTTAGTAACTTTGATTCTATCTCTTGAATATCCAACACATAAAAATAATTAGGCAAACAAGCAAAGGAGGGAGAACGTTTGCAAAAAAGAAACGTGTCAGATAGAATAGCATCTATAGAGAAAGTAAAAAAAAGTTGGTGGTTGCCAACAGTCCTGTTTCTTTTTATATGTTCTTCAATAAAAATGCACCTACAAAAAGAATAGGATATTAGTCACACTTGCAGAACCACTAACTTGACCTTTTGACAACACCTTTCCCCATGGTGCTGGTTAGCTGACTGTTTACCTGAGTTAGGGAGAACTCAGTAAAGTTAAGCTATAAATACATTCATAGTGACTAACAGTTTGTAAAAATGTTGACTAGCCTCCTAAATGGGTGGCATTTCAGATTTCCCCTTTGGCCATAGAACTTTGAAATACTGGCAATGCAATTTAAAAACCCAGGATTTTTATTTGACTTATATCAACAAGACTTATTAGGATGGAAATGCACATTTTGTTCCTCCAACACCATATTTATTTATTAAACTTGTATAGCTGCTCACCTTAACATATGGCTGGGTGGCAAAGTGCATTACTGTACTGGTTTTGCAGGAAAAGTTTACTTTTGTCTCAGATGTACAAAACCCAGTTTGGTCAGATAGGACAGTGACCTTAAAACTTACATGAAGATGTAAAGTTATCATAGTTACCTTACCTGCACTAGTGTTGATGGTGACTAACTGGTAGCTTCATGGCAATCTATTGATTTAGAGGACAGGAAACAGATATTTGCAGCCAGACTATATAACTTTTGATGGAACTGAAACTCACCCTTCCTTCCTTCCTTCCTTCCTTCCTTCCTTCCTTCCTTCCTTCCTTCCTTCCTTCCTTCCCTATTGCAGAATTAACCCTAATGATACTGAGGAAGAGTTAAAGCTCTGTGCATCTTCTTAGTTTCTAGGCAAGGTGATTGTGGATGCGTAACTTTTCAGTTTTTTGCTGCTCTCTTTACCTTTTTAGATTTTGGCTTATTAAACTGGAATTGGACAAAAGATTGCTCTTTATAAAGTAAGACACATGACCATCCAGTCAAATTCCTTTTTCACAAATTGTATTTTTATTTTATTTTTATTTTTGCTGCTGCTTCCTTGTTCTTTAATATGTGCCATTTTTTAAAAAAGAATGATCTGGCTGAAATTTTCCAGTTCAGAAAATTAGATGCAGGCCAATGTCTGTGCTTTTTATATCTCCTATTGTAATGATGGAATTCCACAAATTTCTCCTTTCCTTTCTTATGTACAACATTTAGCAACTCTGGGCACATGAAACAGCTTCTTGAGAAAAATGAGCCTAACTCCATACTCTTCTTTCAAGTTCAGTCTCCTTTAACACCATTTGCTTTTATTTGTTGATAGAAGAAAGTCAAACCAGACTGTGTTTAAAAGTTTAAGAGTTTTATTTGCTAGGTGAATGAACATTTTAATACCAATAGAGAAGAATATTTGCAGCTCAAACCTCACTCCCTATCAGGACTGATGATGGTATGGGTGATGAAATGTTTGCAAGAAAAAAACCCAGGTTTTTTTGGTTTTGAGCACTAAGGACCTCTGAATATTTTACTATTCTGAGAGCAGTAACCTGATAGTTGGCAGGTGTTACTCACCTATTAGGTATCCTTAGGTACCAATAGGTTTCAAGTTACTGTTCAAACTATCGTTTTTGACCTCAAAAGCCCTATATGGTTTGGCACCTAGATACTGACAAAATCAACTTCTTCTGCCTGTATCAGTTATACAGTATGCTCTTCCTAGATTACACAGGGAGAGGTTTTGAGTCATTATTGCTCTGAGTTTACCAAAAATACACAAATTTTAAAAAGTGATAAAAATATCCCTTTTAAACAAAATATAGGTAACCAAGGCCAGAAGGCACTGATTTTCATTAATTGTTCCAGCCTTTTAACTTTTACTCCATGCCTTTTAGCATTCTGGAAGCCATGAAATTGAGTTTTTATTTTTCATTATCACAATTACTATAAGTTGTTAAAACTTTGGTTGAAAAAATTCAATTAATTATATTTACCAAGAATGTTTTTGAATTTTAAGGAAGTACTTTTTAAATTGTTTTATAAACTGCCATTAGCTTGTAGAATAAATAAAGCATAAGCATAATAAATAATGGCATCAAAGGTACAAGTAGTAGACAGGATGGTGCACTCATACAATCATGGGCTGCAGTATCTCTCTGGGTATTGTGCTTGATATCCTGTAGGTTCCCTATTCTACCTACTTTTAATTAAAAAAAGATGGAAAACTGGCATGCAGAAAAGTTAAACTCCAACCTCAAATTACTTAAAGTATTTAGGATAGGATAGGATAGGATAATTTTATTTCTAT